CACAGAGATAAAGAGAATAGAAAATATAGTGAAGAACATGAGTGTCTTGTGGGAAATGGTGAAAATATCTAACATATGTTTAACTGATATTTCAGAAGAAGAGGAGAGAAGGAAATAAGAGCAGTACCAATCATTAAAGAAAATTAATTAAGATAAATAGAAAACTGGGCTGAGTACTTTCTGAAACTGATGAAGTTTTATGACCCCGAAGCAGGATAAATAAGAAAATTACACCAAGGCACACAGTGGTGAAAACTGAAGACAGAGAAAGGACACTAAAAACAGCCCAAGGGTGAGGTTGGAGGACATTTTCACTTTCACAGGAGAAACAACAGCATGGACAACCACTTGTCAAAGCAATGATCAAAGTTGTTGAGATACCATTTTTAATTGCTGAAAGAAAACAATGTCAACCTAGAATTCTGTATCCACAAAAATATGCTTTAAAAATGAATTTGAAATAGAAAATTCTATTCAAAGTCACAAAAAGCATGCTGCCAGCATTTCTGCGCTCTAGGAAATACTAAAGGGAGTTCTCAGGGTAGAAGGAAATTGACCTAAGATAGAATTCCAGAAATGCAGAAAAGAATAAAAAGCAGCAGAAAAAAATAAATATGTGCTTGAATATCAATGAATAGTGGTTGAACACAGTAATGACAGTAATGTCTTACTGGGTGTAAAAATATAAAAATGAATATTATCAGATAAATGAACATACACACAAAAAAGAAGAATAGAGGCAGAATTGCTGTGACATTAGAGCATGTCTAACAAGTGATAAAAAGTAAAATGTATATTGGACTATAATAGATAATACATACAAATTGTAATCTCTGTGGTAACCACTAAAGGAATAATTAAAGAATGTGTAAGTAGCAACTAATAGGTATGGGGAGATAGATTTTTTTTTAAAAAGTAAGTTAATCCACAAGAAGGTTAAAAAATAAAAGGAGGTGGGGGGGGAGGGAGGAGAGAAACCATAAAAGAAGTAGAACACGTGAAAACAAATAGTAAGGTGGTTCATATGAATACAAAGGTATCAGCAATTACATTAAATGTAAATGCACCAAGTACACAAAAGGTAGAGTTTCATGGACTTGATTTAAAGGCTATTTAAGAGAACATAACAATTATAAGAATGAATAACAAATTTGAAAAAATAGGGGAAAGTGGAAAAAAAGATGCTATTGCAAATTGTAGAGGTAGTTTTTCACAATGATAAAGGGTTCAATCTGCCAGAAAAATGTAAATTTAAATTTAAATGGGCATGAGCCTAATAACACAGTCTCAAAATATGTAAAGAAAAATTGATGAAACTAAAAGGATATATAAATAAATCCACAATATAGTGAAAGGCTATAACCTCTCTCAACAATAGTAAGCAAAACAGACAAAAAATATCCATAAAGATATAGATGATTTGATCAATATAATTAACAAACTTGGCTTAATGGAAATGCATAGAACACCTGTACTCAATAACTTTAGAATACATATTCAAGTACAAGGATCATTATAATACAAACATTATAGATAAGTCTCTCATGAACATAACTATTAAGTATAAAAATCCCTCAAAATATAATTGCAGATAAATTCAATTTTAAAAACACCATGTATTTGTGTGTGTCACTCACACACACATTTCTTGTTTCTGTCATAAGAATGTAAATTTGGTTTGATATCCAAAAATCAATCACTATAATTCCTCACATTAAAATAACAAAGGATAAAAATATGATTATCTTAAAGTTTAAAAAAAGCATTAAATAAAATATAACACCAATTGTGATTAAAAAGAATTTCAGACAAGTTGGGACTATATGGCCATAAGTACATTAAAAGTCATATAACCAGGGCTGGGGATATAGCTCAGGTGGTAGAGTGCTTGCCTCACATGCACAAGGCCCTGGGTTCAATCCGCAGCACCACCAAAAACAAACAAACAAACAAAAAAACCATCATGATGCTTAATGTTGAATATTTATTTATTTATGGTACAGGGGATGGTACCGAACACAGGCCCTTGCACACGCTAGGTACATGCTTTACCACTGAGCTATATCCTCACCCGTTTAATGGTGAATTTTGATTGCTTTACCCCCTGAAATTGAAATTGAGACAAGAAGGCTCACCATCACTACTTGTAGTCACTATTCTGCTAAAAATTTTTACTTTTTGTATATTGATCTTCTATCCTACCACCTTGCTGAACTTGTTCATTAGCTTCATAGTGTGTGTGTGTGCATGCATGTGCATTCTTTAGGATTTTCTATATACAAGAATATGTCATCTCCAAATATTGTTTTATTTCTTCCTTTATGATCTAGGCACCTTTTATTCCTTTTTCTTGTCTAATTGCCTAAACCCTGCAAGAGATATAAGATATAAGGACTGGAAAAGAAAGAAATAAAACTGTTCTTCACAAAGGACATGAATACATACAAAGAATCTGCAAGCTGTTACAGCTTAAATAAATTTAGATAGGCCACTAACTAGATATAAAATCAACATACTTCTGTATCACTAGAATCTCTTTATATTAGCAACAGATAAATATAAAACCTAAGAACAAATCTACTGGAAGATGTGTAAGAACACTTTGCCCAAAAGTGTTATAAGAAAAATTTTAGAAACTTAAATTTAGGGATATACCATGTTAATAGAATGAAAGATTCAATATTCTAAAGTTATTAAATGATCACCAAATTGGTCTATGTGTTTACTAAAATCCCATTAAATTATATCACCATTTTTGGTGGAAATTAGCTAGTTTATTTAAAAATGGTTTTATGGAAATGCAAAGGACTTCTTTCTGCTGGAGTTGTGTGCCATCAGAATTCGAGACAAACCAGGCTATGGGAAGCACTGACTCATGGGAAGCACATATGTATTCTTTTGCCCTGACCATGTCTGTATCCCAATGCAGCAATCCCTTCTTCCTTCCCATCTGAGCAGACAGCCTGAGAGTCCCCTGCCATTTATTTTTATTTTTTATTATTTTTTATTGGTTGTTCATAACATTACAAAGCTCTTGACATATCATATTTCATACATTTGATTCAAGTGGGTTATGAACTCCCATTTTTACCCCGTATACAGATTGCAGAATCACATCGGTTACACATCCACGTTTTTACATATTGCCATACTAGTGACTACTGTATTCTGCTATCTTTCCTATCCTCTACTATCCCCCCTCCCCTCCCCAGTCCCCTGCCATTTAGATTTCTTAGAGATGAATCAAAGATATCAGTATACTCTGTCCTGCAAAGAGAACGTTTATTAACTTTTCCAAGTGACCTTAGAAATGCCATTACTGATCATAAGCCTATAGGGGTGGTTGGTACCTATAGTCTCAGGACCCCAGAAAAACAGAAACAGTTCCACTTTAGTAGTCTTGTCTACCAGCATATAAAGGACTCCTATTATGACTCTACTATGGAACTGTTGGAAAAAACTACTATGGTATAGATTACGTTGAAAATGTGCAAGGGAAATGAGTGAGACAAAGCAGACACAAGATAGTCTATTGATATGGACCAATGCCAGGCAATGCTTGTATTTGTGTATTGACAGAGATCAGAACTGAAGTCAAAGAGGCACAAATTCAGCACAACAATCACCACCTTCTTTTGCTGAAGTTGCTTCACTGCATGAGAAAGGAAAGACACAGGTTCAAAGTTCTGTTCAAGTTATACAATAACAATGCATTGACTACAAGCTCTGCAGTATTAGGTGCAAAAACTGTCAGAGTAGCAGTGATAAGCACAATGACTGCTCATTAACTTAAGTACAACTTCTGGGGAATTGGTGACAGCGATTGTGGGAACTGCCACCTTAATGAATTTTATACTTGTCATAGCACAATAATCATACTGGAATTGCTAGGCTTATAAGAGTTCTCTGACTATACTATGGCCCCATGTGTTTACCATTTCCTGCCCAAAGTGATAGCCTCAGCAATTGATGATATTGACCAAGGTACCATAGAATCCAGCAGCAGATCATCTGCAAGATCAGGGGTATGAGGTTTTGGACCCTGGGGAGGGTACGCCACAGGCAAGACTTGGGTCCTGGGAGGGGGGCCTAACAAAAAAGTGAAACCCTCCTCACCTAGCACAGTGAGCCTCTCTGACAGCTCATCTGCCATTTTGTCCATGGGTGGGCTGCTCACAGCATTCTCCCAGTTACATCATCCAGAAAAGTGTATGTTCTCTGCTAGGCAGAAGGCGGAGAAACCGCAGTTGAAATGTAATGCAGTGTAGCATCAACACACTAGATATAAAATCAATATACTTCTGTATCACTAGAATCTCTTTATATTAGCAACAGATAAATATAAAACACCTAAGAATAAATCTACTGAAAGATGTGTAAGAACACTTTGCCCAAAAGTGTTATAAGAAAAAGTTTAGAAACTTAAATTTAGGTTTATACCATGTTAATAGAATGAAAGATTCTATATTCTAAAGTTATAAAATGACCACCATATTGGTCTATGTGTTTACTAAAATCCCATTAAATCATATCACCATTTTTGGTAGAAATTAGCTAGTTTATTTTAAAATGGTTTTATGGACATGCAAAGGACTTCTTTCTGCCAGAGTTGCATGCCATCAGAATTTGAGACATACCAGGCTATGGGAAGCCATCGAGATGATGGGACCTAAGTTCACCCTGTACTTCCAATCAGATATGCCATCCCTAAATAGAATATTTCTTCTGAACACCTGACACCTGATATCACATCATGACTGTGATGACCAGGAGTCTAGATTCCAGGCCCACACAGCCCCACAGCTAAAGAAGGGTGGAGTGAGTTGCGGGGGTGGGGGGCAGCGCTCCTGGCCACAACTGCTGACTGGGGCAGAGCTTCCTTGTTCCCTCTTTTCTCCTGCCTATCAGCATTCAGGTACCCCTGGTTCATGCTGGCCCAGTGAGACACTGGATGAAATGTCCTTGCTTGTGGCTGCTGCATATGACTGTGCGGTCAGTGAGCTTCTGAAGCAGAACTGCAGTTCTGGGTGCTGGGTCAGGGCTCAGTGGGGCCACAGAGTGCATGCCATCGTTTCACCAGCTCCTTGGGCTTGCTGAGCATCTCATCCCAGTGCTCCAGCTCTCTACCACGTGTGTACATGTAGGGTCCCACCACCACACGACCCAGAGGGTGGCTCCCTGCAAGAAGAGAGAACTCCATTTGCTCTTGAGCACAGAAGTCACATCACTCACACCCCAACATCCCCAGTGACTTTTCTCTCTGTCTCTGTGTCTTACTTTCCCTTGAAGGAAGCAGTAAGCCCCCTGCTCTCCAAGCATGAGCTGTCAGCCCCTAAAAGGGCCCTTAATTTGCTCTGGGGCTGAAGAACTGCTTTTTTTCTCCCTTGGAAGTCCCAAGGTATGAGAAAATGCAGGCATATAATGCCCACCTTGCAGATCACTGGATTGGTTCTAGGCAGCCATGCAGCCTCCTGATCCCTCCAGTGATTTGCCCAGGAATAGGTAGTAGAGACCATCCATTAGCTTCTTTCTAGGGTACCACAGACAGTCCAACTGGAACTCTGGAATCCCAGCACTCCTGATGACTAGCTGTGTATCCTTGGGCAAGTATCTCAGTTTCTATGTGAGAATTTCTTTAACCAGAGATCAGAGGTTGGATCTCAGCTCCTCCTGAGGTAAGGCATTCATTCTGACTTTGCCACATTACCCCAGTAGCCTGAGGGGTGGGGAGGATATCCTTACTGTCCCCTTCAGTGCTCTGCAGCACTGTCAGGCTGAGGCTGGCGGTGTCCAGCTCGGTGGCATCGGCCTTGAAGCTGAAGGTCTCATTGTACACAGGGTTGACGGAACCCAGCACAGCTGAAGTCTTCTTGGACTTGACAAACTTGTTTTGGTTCATCAGGGACACTTTGACAAACACACCTGAGGGGCAGTGCACACCAGTAACTGGGAGACCAGCAGGAACCCAGCATGCACCCATGAAAGCCTGGTTAGGAGGGTATGAGCCCAACCCAGGCGCCAGGTCCTCATCACTCACAGTGCTGCTGAGGCCAGAGGGTGTGACAAGAGGAAATGGGGTTGATTAATGTCATGCCTCATGGCCAAGGATATGCTTAGCTCCTTCCTTTTCCTCCCTCTTTGCTTAGGAGACATGTTTGAGCTGACCCTTGTTCATTGGAGCCTGGTAGCACATACCCATCCCTCTCCATCAGGGAGGGGGGCTATCTTCTGAGTGCTCAGGACCCTTGGGTCCCTTGAATACCTGTTTGATCAGAGGGCTATGATTTAGAGGGAGGAGCCCAGATGGCTTTTGAATCCACAAAGAGACACAAACTCCAACAGGCTGCAGACAACCTCTATTTTGCTAGGGGCACCCACAAGGGGCAGGACTTATCTGCTGCTTTTCAGCTCTTGGGTTTTGGAGGCTGGGGAAAGTGGGTTCACTATTAGCTGGGCATCAGTGCCCCAGGGAGTGCTCAAGCCTTTCCCCTGGTAGGAGGGAGGCAGAGTACTGGACCCATTCAGCTGAGGTACAGGTAGAGGCAGAGATAGGCAGGACAGTCAAGGAGCCAAGACACTGCCTTGGAAAACAGGAGGGACAAGGTGTGGTCTTGGATCAGATTAGAGCCTTTGGGAGGGTGCAAGGGGATACAGCCTTGGGTTCTTGCACCAGAACTTTCCATGGATGGAGGGCATATCATGGGAGGCAGTGAGCACTCTGTGAATGGGTTATGTAGGCAGAAATGAGAATATAAGGGTGAGGGTAAGACTCCAGCCCAAGCCCCAGGTTCACCAGGTGAGACCTTCCCCAGGAGGATAAGGGAGGTGACTCACTGACAACACTTCTGTCTTCCTGGAGCTGGAGGCCTTTGGCACGAAGCACGACCACGGTCAGGCGGTTCAGGTAGTCATTGTAGCTGAGGCAGAACTGAAGGTCGCCAAACTCTGAGGGAGGCTGGGGAGGCCAAGATGGAAGCACCCACCCATCACAGGTATAAGAGGGGCTATAGAGTCCTAGAATGCCTCCTGCCCTCTTGGCAGTCAAGGCTAGGGTGCAAGTGATACACCCCAATGGGTTCCTTTGAGCCCCAATCATTTTATAGATGGGGAAAGTGAGGTCTGGAGAGTTAAAGGGACTTGTGCAGTATGTTGATTGGACATTCTATTTCAAAACTCTGAAGTCTAAATATTCCAACATCCAGAACTTGTTGAATGCTAAGTGGAAAGTTTCATATCACGAAACTTTTTTCATGAACGAAATTATTTAAAAACATTGTATCAATTTTTTGTTGGACTTGGGTCTTATTTGTATGTATTTATATGTACATACAAATATTCAAAAAATCCTAAATCTGAAACACTTCTGATCTGAAGCATTTTGGATAAGGGGTACTCAACCTGTAATATGGATCAGAGCCAAGAATTCACACACAAGTCTATGGGGTTCCAAAGCCTATGTTGAGCCACGTGGATCCTTCCCGGGGGATGGGAGAATGATAGATAAATATTTCCCTGGGCTGGTCTATTTGTGCTGTCATTTTTCTTAGTGGTGGGAATCCAAATGTGCATTTTTTGGATCGATCCAGATAATATGACAGCCAGTGTGGAAAGACCTTAGGTGACCCCTCCCGGCCCAGGAGGAAGTCCATCCCAACTCTTCTCAGGAGCTAGCTCATGGATTGGGCCTGCCTTCCTGACTCCCTCCTGTAGGGTGGTATGCAGTGTGCTGAGGACTGATGTTGGCCGGCAGGTGCTGGGTGGGCTTTGAGAATGCCTGCTGGCTGCCCACAGCAGTGCTGACTGTACGTCTGGTGACCTCCACCTTACCTCCAGGCTCTCAGCCTCTAGGTCTCTCCAGAAGACATGGTGGCAGTCACCTGCTAGGGTCTCATTCTTCAGCGGGAACAACACCTGTCCCAGGAATTGGTGCTTCCTCTGTCTGTTCACATGGTACACTGAAAACTTCAGCACCCTCTGGGTCACACTCTTGCAGGATACCTGCGTGAGATGAGGATGCAGGCCAGGGTCAGGCATCGGGGTAGATGATGGGATGCTGACATGTGTGACATAGGCACTTTTACTGAGGGGTACCTAAACCAGCCATCTACATACCCCAGACCCAGACATCCTGTGGGGACCCTTCTCCACAGCAGGGCCAAGCACACATGGGAAGTGCAAGTGCATGCTAGAGCCTTGTTGCACAATGTGCTCTGAGGATATGCAGCATCAACAACTGCCTGGGCCTTGTTAGAAAGGCAGGATCTTGGGCCCCATCCTGGGCTCATGAATGAGAATCTGCTCCTGAACAAGACTGCTAAGTGCTTTGCCTGCCCATTAAATGTGCCAGGACATGACCTATCTACTATCCGAGTTGGGTACAATATTCTCCCCTCTCAGAGACTTGGCCTCCTCACCTGTAAAATGGGGATCATGGTTCTTCCTGTCTGATTTGTAAAGCCCCAGTCACCGTCTGAGCTATATAGATGGCCAATAAGTACTCATTTCCTTCTCTTGCTCCTTCTCCTACTTTTTCCCACTCAATGCACAAAGAGGATAGGATCAAGTATGGATGGGGTTGGGTGGGGAAGGGGTGAGTAAAATGAATGAATGAATGGATAAGCATGGTGCATGACTGTGTACGTTAGCAAGGCTGCAAGGCACTCCTTGGATCCTGATGTCCTAAGATGGGGCAAATTCACCTGTGAATTCTCACTGCTTCTGACCCAGCAGGACAGCCTGGAACAAGGCTGCCCCTCCTCCCAGTTCTCAGCATTGGAGGAAAGCATGAATCATAACTCTGGCCTCAGTAATCATGCTCTTTCTGGAAGTGGGATTGTCTTTCCTTACCTCTCAGGCCAGCATGCTGTACTGATCTTGAGAAAATGTTTGTCAAAGGCCTCTTGGCAGGTCTCAATTGCTGACTTCCCCTAAGGGCCCCTAGTCACCTGTTGAGGCTCCCAGGCCCTTTCCAACCAGATGCCCTAATGGCCTCTCTACCTGTAAACCCAGAGGGGTTCAGCCCAAGGTGCAGCAAAAACACAGTACCTGCCCCAGCGTGGCTCTTGGTCCCCGTGCCAGCCTCTAAAAGCAAGCATAGGACAGTTTCTGCCCCGACTCCAAAGGGCCTGAGGTAACTCTAAGCAAAATGAATATTCATCTTCCTTGGGTAACCTTGCCAGAAACCCCTTATTGTTTCAGGTTTTTGGAATGCTTTCTCTGAGACTCGTGGGCTAGAGCCTAGAATTTAGTAGGTGCACCAAAATGTGTTTTCTTCCTCTCCTCTAGGCAGCCAGGACAGGCTGGTCTCTTTCATCAGGGCCCACCTCTTATAGACCCTGACTTGGTCAGCTTGTTAAGCAGATCTGGAGGCACCAATGGTCCCAGGGGCTAAACAGAAGGCTGGACTGTCCTGCATAATGTTCCTTCCCATAAGGCTGGAAGACACAGGCCCTGTCTGCCCAGGGACTATACCTGGAAGATGAAGTGTTCATCAAACTGTGGGCTGGAGGTTTTGCGTTTGGTCTTGGACTGGAGGAAGCGCCGCTCATCAGGCAGTAGGTGGAGCTTCACCAGGAGGCTGCAGGTCTCAGAGGGTGCTTGCAGCAACTGTGCCTTGATCAGGCCCACCAGCAGCCGCTCAGTCTCCTGCTGGTATTCCACAGAGAACCACAGCCGGCCCAGGCAGCCGTCAGGGAAATGAGTTTCACTTGTGTCCTCTGGAAACTTGTACAACTCTGGGTTGATGGTCCCCACCACACCTGCATCTCCTACAACAGAATGGCTTGAAGGTCTGGCTGGCAAGAGGAAGACAGGTACATGGAAGATAGTAGCAAGATCTAGCCATATCACTATTGTGGCCCTTCTCCCTTCATCTGAGCCTCAACTAGTCTGACCACCTCTACCTCACTCTCTTCTCCAGACTATGAAGGTGACCTCCCTCTGGTGCATGTAAGCATTCCATTACCCATTCAATGCCTACTCCACACACCTGTGACCTATGGTCAACTCCTATCCCTGGAGGTCAAGGCATGCTTTCCAGTACATTCTGTCCAGCACCTGGCCTGGTCCCTTTCCTCGGTGCCTAGAGAATGACCCAGTGATAACATGTTGCATTTTTTTCTTCCTCTTCAAATTGGAAGTACCAAGCTGATTACTGGGTGGTTCCTGAGAAGGTCTCTTGGGAGATTTTCAGAAGCAAAGAGGAGACTGGAAAGTTGTCTCTACCTCCTACACTTCTGCCTTCTCAGTTGGCCATCATCTCCTGGAGCAGGATGTTGTATAAGTTCTGCACCTGGTTACACCTACTTTTGAATCCCAGACCTGTTGCTTATTGCCTCTGAGACCTTGGTAAGGCACTGCTGCTAAACTTCCAGAATGTAAAATGAGTTACTTCCTTCCCCACCAAGATGTTAAGGTCTAACTCCAAAACAGCACAGTGGTCATATCTCAAGGGCATGAGGTGCAGTCGGTACTTGGTAAGTGAAAGTACCCAGAAAGAATGGTCTCTTGGTAACTCTGGCCTTCCTGGGCCAGAGGCTGTTTAGCAGCCAGACTCGGGAAAGCAGGTGGATCCACCAAGCCCAGGCAGACCCTGACCTGCGGGAGTACTCACCAAGATTGCCGCTGGAGGTATGAGGCAGGAGCTCTGGGGCTAGACAGGGGTCCTTTGGGGCCCGGGACAGCTCTTTGTTATGCAGGGGTACCCAGTCTCGGCCTTGGAAGGAAGGGGGCACCATGAATGGCACACCTGATGGCCTGTTCAGAAGTAAAGAAACAAAATGTAGATGGCAGGTGAAGGGTGGGGCCTCAGTGTGCTCAGCCAAGAGGGGTTGAGTGCCAGGGACTGGAGGGAGAAAAGTCACTGGGAGCCAGGAATAGGTAAAAGCATCATTTTCTGGGTCCACACCAGGATGGACAGACACACACACACACACACACACGCACACACTCACAGCCAGTCAGTGCCTCTGTCTGCCCACAGCAATGGGGTATTGGAGAAAGAACAATAGCCTCCAATGTCAGCCTACCCAGTTTCTAATTCCTGTTCTGTCTCTTACTAGTTTTGAAGCCTAGACCTGTTACTTTATGTTCTCTGAGCCTTGGTTTACTCAGCTAGACATGGGTTCACAATGCCTATCTCACAGCTTGTGGTGAAGTTTCTGGGTTTCTTTGCCGTGGGCTTGCAGGAAGAGCTCTAAAAACAGAACTTTTCTTTTTCACCCAATCCGATGGCAACTCCACAGAGAGGACCCTAGAGAAAGAACCACTTGGCCCCCATCCTGCCTTACCTGCTCAGCTGGGTCCTGGAATGTAGCTGACAGCGCTTGTCCCCCTGTCTGCTGGAGGCAGCGCTGATGACGGTGGCTGGTGTCTCTGGCAGCTCCTCATAGGTGAAGGTGGCACAAAACCTCCTCCACAGGCAGCAACTCACACCAGTCAACAGCAGTAGAAGCAGGCCCCCAACGATGCCCCCAATCACCAGGGCCAGCTGCTCTGGGGACAGAGACCACCAGGCAGACAGTGATGCCTGCCTGGTGAAAGCCACTCCCCCACACAGCTCTGACCTGTGGGGGCAAGATTGGGGTAGCAACCCCACACCCTGGGTTATATTTCTGGAGTAATGCTGAAGCAAGCAGCTGGCTGGACTCTGCCAGGTCTCAGTGGGACAAGGCATTTCCATTGGGGCCCTAGTGTCTGCCCCCCGGAAAGCCTTAGTGTTTCTCTTGGAAAGCAGCAGGCCCTGGATTTGAGATTGTGACTGAAATGAAGTGTTTCTTTTTTTTTTGATTGGAAATCAAACCTTCTCCTACCAGAGCCTTCAACTTCCCTGAGATCCTTTTGAGGTTTGAAGGTGATCTTGTGGATAAGCACACACGGCAAGGAAAGCCCAAGGAGGAACCCATGCCCCTGATGTGGCACCCAGGTTCCAGCAGGTTCTGGACGTTGCTGTGAGGCTGGACTCATCTTGGGTTTGGTAACCTTCTCTAACACCAGTTCCCTTCCCCAGCCCTCTATCAAGATGAGCCTGTACTTAGGGGAGATCATGGGAGGCAGTGGAGAGGGGTGTGGGGCGGCAGTTGTGGGAAACAGAGACATATGGGCCTTTCCCTGTTGCACTCACACGCCTATATTTGTGGGTTCCTGGGGGGCTTTGCCAGGAGCCCGCTGAGGACGCTTTGGCCCCTTTCAACTGGTCATCACAGAAAGACAAAGGGGCACTTGAAGGGGCGGGGGCTTCCCGGGCTCCAGGCTCTGGGTTATGGACCAGCTGGGGTGGTGAGAAGGCCAGACCCCGACACTTTCTAACTTGGCAATTGTTTTCCAAGAGCCGACCTGTCTACTCCATTCTGCACTCCTCTAGGAGCCGGGCTGAGGCCAGACTGGGCAGGGGCTGTGGCCCAGCAGGGTCTGCAGGGCAGAGGCAAGTGCTGGAACCTGTCGCCCAGAGTAGCCTCTCATGACTTAGAGCCCGGGGCAAAGAAGACAGGGCACTTACCCGCCATGAGGCTGCTCTGTCCGGTCCTGGGGCGCCAGATGGGGCTCAATCTCTAGGGTCTCTGCATCTCCTGCTGGAGCCGCGGGGCAGGCACTTCAGGCGTGGCGCAGGGCCATCCGGAAGTCGCGGGGGCGATGGGTTGAGGGTTGCTGCCCTGAGGTTCGCAGCGGAGTGGCTGGCGGGGGCAGGGATCCGGAGTTCCGAGGACACAGCTCCGCCCCAGCCCGACCCTGGCAGAGGCCGGGAGGGGCGCGGAGCCCGCGGTGCGCTCTCGGAAACCGCCCGGCTCCGGGCGGGGCGGGTCTCAAGCGTCCTCAAGGCTCCCTGCAGCTACGGGCTGGGTGGGCTGCAAAACGGAGCGCAAAGCTAAAGCCTTCTCCACCAGGTTGTGACAGAGAACTCCACATCTGGTCCCTCACACCTGTTGTCCTTGGCATATGTCGTATCAAGTTGACCTCATGGGTCATTGTCGCAGTGGACAAAATAACCAAGAGTTGAGAGAGATTCTGGAGCTCGATCTGGTAGGGTTCCTACTCTGGCTCCCCACCCGCCAGCTGTGAGAGTTGGCCCACTTCAGTTTAACCCTCTGTGCTCCCTCTCCTTGGTTGGGTAATAACAGCATTCCTGGGGGTTAATGTGCAGAAGGGGTTCTCACAAGGATGATTGGCCCAACATTGACTTACAATGTATGTAAAGGGCACTTAAATTAAAAAAAAAAAAAATAGTGCAGTGTGTTCCAGCCACTGCTATGGAGACTATATGACTGAGGGATTTGTCCCCTGGGTCATCTACTCACAGCCCTTAATACTGTGGCAATTACTATCAGACCACCTGCTGGTGAACACAGCCTTGGTCAAGAGGCTCCTGGAAAGGCACTGGGGTCTTCTGTGCTTTGGCATCAAGTGGATGCAGTCCAAGGATACCGCACCCTACTCTCATCTGCACACATCCCCTTGGAGAGGACCTGAAGGGGAGAGCTTGAGACTTGGAGGTGTCTCTTTCATGAAGGTAATGTCTAAAGATAGCCTGAATTGGCCTCCCCTAGTCATCCATGCCTAGGGAAGGCTGGGTAGGCAAGTGGGAGGGAGGGGACTCAATAGTCAGTGGGCATGAGGATCTGGTCCTGCTGGGTCACCCTAGGCGGAATAGGTGGTAAATTGGGGTATCCCTCATCTTGTGGCCACCTTCTGCGACTATGGGCAGAGGCAGTGGTCACTCTCCTTGTGGAGTATGAATTTAGGGAGGAGGTAAAGACAAAGCAGGATCCCCACATTTGGTCAGCCACACTTTTTACCCCACCATTACACTTGCTAAGAACCAGGCAGAGGTCTGTATTTCTCCTACTGTCATCTCTCCTGGCACAAACTTGCCTTCAGGCTCCAGTCAGACTGGAGTGTCAGGAGGATCACAGGACCCTGACTTCTGCTTCCACATAGGTAACCAATGGAGGCCACAACTGGAGCAATGTCTCCAAAATGGGGCACTGCCAAATGTCCCATCTTCATCTCATGTGTGCATTAGATATCTGTACTTTTTAGTTTCCCATTGCACTGCCATAAATTAGAACCGATTTAGCTCTTTAAACCATAAGTTTAGTGTAAGAAACATTTACCCAAATCCATCTGGCTACTTGTGTTTGTGGCAGAAACTGCACTGTTCCTGTACCCCCAGGTTTTAAGCCTCATTTACATTTGAAAAATGGACTTGCTCATGCTGGGAGAAGAATGTTATAATTTTTACTTATTAAAGTTGACTCATAATTTTTTTTTTGGCTGGGGGTACCAGGGATTGAACTTTGTGGCACTCAACCACTGAGCCAGATCCCCAGTCCTATTTTGTATTTTATTTAGAAACAGGGTCTCACTGAGTTGCTTAGGGACTCACTTTTGCTGAGGCTGGCTTTGAACTTGTGAACCTTCTGCTTCAGCCTCCCCAGAAGCTGGGATTACAGGTGTGCACCACCAGGCCTGGCACCTCATAATGTTTTTAAAGTTAAAAAAATATATATCTTAATGTTCTAAGAGACAGAAAGATGTCTTCCTTTTGGAGGCTCTAGCAGAGAAGCTATTCTCTTGCCTTTTCCAACTTCTAGAGGCTACCTACTAGAGGACCCCCTATCTTCAAAGCCAGAAGCACAGCATTTTCTTATTTGACTCTGGGTCATTTTAATAACCGTTTCTGCCTCCCTCTTATAAGGACCCCCAAGATTATATGGGTCCCACTATACAATCCAGAATAATCTCCACATATCAGTATCATTAAGTGATTCACATCTGTAGTATCCCTTTTGCTATGTAAGAGACTCATGGATTTTGCGTACTCATGGGTTCTGGAGTATGGATATCTTTGGGGCCATTATTGTATTGACCAGAGAGATCCCATGCAGCACTTTGGAGTGGTAGAGGTGGTGGCTTACATTCTGCCTCCTGCTGTCTGGAGCTCTCAGTGTGTCCCATGGCTGCACTCAGGCAGCTAATAAGGTTCTCATGACCCCTTTGTGGTAATTTTTCAATAGCCTTGATCCCTCTCCCCAGATGTCCTGCACCCGAGCCTGACTGTTCTGTGCTTCGGTACCAACTGTCTCACATACACATGTTCCTTTACACTGTGTTCCAAATAGCCCCAGACAGCTCCTTGTGCTCAACAAAAAGTATATTGAGCCAACAAAAATGATGTGGAGCCAACTCCACATAATGGATATGATATCCCATCCACATGGGCTGTCTCCATGGTGGGGCCTAAGCTGTGCAGGGTCTATTCTGAATGTGGGGTGGGATGGTGTGTGCTCTTTGAAAAGTGAACTCCTGTTGGCCAGTCAGGCCTGAGCTGCCATTCTTTCCCCCTCAGGCCCATGTTGTATCTTTTCAGGGTGCCCATTCTCCTCCCTGGTCTCCTTCTCTGATTGCTAGCAGTCACCAAATCCTTCCAGCTCTTTCTCTGTTCATCCATCATTACCAAAATGCTCATCCTGGCCTCCATCAGCTCACACCTTCAGAACTGCATCAGCTTCCTCTGTACTCCCCAGATTCTATCCTGTACCTTTCCCCAGCTATGTCATCTGGGCTCTCTCCCATCCCTCTGTGATACTCAACGTCCAGTCTGGTGAAGCTACTCTGGAACCTCTGCCAATTAACTGGCTCCCTCTCAGTACATCTGAAATACTGTGTCCCTCCTGTCCTCCTTCCCTGTTGCTCATCTCAGGTTCTCCTCCATTAAATCTTTTGTCACCCACTCCTTGTCCTCAATGTTCCTACAGATACCATATTGACTAAGGGATTGTGGGCTGTGACCACCACTCCACTGTACTCTCCTGGTAGACCAGCACCTCCATGTAGGCAGGGGCCATGTTTTATTCAGCTGGACATTCCCAGTGTCCACCCCCAGGGTGAAGAATGTACTAAATGATAAAGGGCTTGTGCCTTCAGGATGAGCTCCCTGGTTTCTGTTAGCTTTGTCCATGTAGCTGACACATTGTGGATCACACATTTGGGCCTGGAAGGAGTTCCCCGGCCTTGTCCTGGACACTACCTGCTGGGTTTGCTTATGTTGCTAGCTGTGTTGGCAAGTACCTTCTACAGCCAGTCCACCATGTTTTGGGTCTTCCTCTGCTGGAAGACAGAGCAGGTGGCAGCAGAAAACTCATCTTTCTTGTGAATCCTGATATTATGGGCATTGCGATGCAGGCTGGATCTTTTGTCACTGAACCTTATATCAGCCTGCAGTGGATCATGCCCTTAGTTAAGGACATTAAAGAAGGTTCATGGTCAGCCCAGTAAGTGGTGGAGCTTGACCTGGCTACCTGGCCCCCTTATTCTTTCCTCCTCACTGACCGGCCCATGCAAAACCCCAGGAAACTATTTCCTATGGAGATGCCCATGAACCAGGCCAAGAGCTTTAGGCACTGTGGCTAATCTCCCTTCCATCCACTGTCCCACAGGGCCTCTGAGATTGGTCTGGCCTGGAGCCAATTCCACATAATAGAAGCACTTCCCAGGGCTGGCTGCAGTCCTGGCCCTGCTTCCTGTTTTCAGATCATGCTCCTTACCAGATCTCTGGAGCTGGGAACCTGGAAACAGGAGCAGACATGATTTCTCTCGCCTGTGGGCAAAAGGAAGTCATATTTCCATTGGCAAGAGCATTTCCAAGGAGAGTGGCAGGAAGTCCAAGAGTTTAAAGGCCTACAAATGCCTGCACGTGATTAATAATTCAGTGCAGTGGATGATTCATGAGAAAGGCCACTTTTAATTAACCTTAAGAATCAGTCCCTGTCTAAGGAAGTGTCATCTCTCATCACTTAGGAACAGAGAGGCTGGGGCAGAATAAAGGCCATACAGAGAGATGTGTACAACACTGTGTTTCTCACATTTATGTAAATTCCATCCCGGTCACCTCAGGTCCCTCTTTATGAGAGGGGGAAAGGTTCCCCTCCACAAGCACTCTATCTTTTGTTCTGCTAGGGTGGCCTCAGGCTCAATTTCCTATAGTTACCTGTTACGGTTTGGATCTTAAATGTCCCTAAAAGGCCAGTGTGATGAAGGCTTGGTAACCAGCCAAGAGTAGTATTGGGAGTTGGTGGAACTTTTTAGGAGGTGGGGTTTAGTGGAAGGAAATTAGGCCATTGTGGGTAAGGCCCTGAAGGAGATAGTGGAACCTTCACTGCTTCCTCTCTCATTCTTTGCTTCCTGGATGCTCTATTATGTACTCCCTGCTCTGATGGTCTCTTCATCACAGGCCCCAAAACAATAGAGATAACTGTGGACTGAAACCTCTGAAGCTGTGAGCCAAACAAAAATTTCCTTCTTACAAGTTGTTTATCTAAGGTGTTTTGTTTGTTTGTTTGTTTGGTTTTAGTTGTAGATAGACACAATACCTTTAATTTATTTGTTTATGTGGTGCTGAGGATCGAACCCAGTGCCCCACATATGCGAGACGCGCCCTCTACCACCGAGCCACAACCCCAGAGCCCTATCTCTGCTGTTTTGTCACAGTGATGGAAAGTTCACTAATATAA